CCCCAGGGGAGCCGCCAACACAGTCCCAAACTCAAGCTGCCACAGGGTGTGTGCTGCCAGACTGGTTCTGTCTGCTGCCCTTCAATCCCAGCTGCACATCCGCCCGCCTGAGCTCATCCCGACAGCACGGAGCCTGGAGCTCCCCTTGTGCCAGCCCCGAGCCCCGGTATCCATCCCATCCGCTCCTCAGACACCCAGTGCGGAGGGAATAGCACCCACCCCACCTCTCACCTTATTCAAGAGCGTCAGTTTGATCTCTTTGTGCGCGCTGAAGCCCCCCTGCTGAGACTGGGGGGCCGAGGGCTGCTGGGTCTGGAGGAGCTGCTGGGATTTACTCCCCTGGCTGGGCTTGGCTGATTTCAGGAGCTGAGCGGGCACATCCCGTTTCCGCTTTTCCTCTTTAGCACTGTCTTCTTTTTTTGACTTTCCTGTTGAAACCAGAGCACAGATGCAGTGACTTGCGACCTGTTCCTTTTGCCTGCCCTCCCTTTGGAGAGCAGGACAAGAGGATGTCACTCCAGGGACTGAAAAAGCCCACGCCAGTTAGCACAGGACATGGCCCCAGGGTTAAAATACCCAGGAAACCAGAATTTCTGTTTAACATAAAAGTCAAAGAATAAAAAGCTCTTGCCACCAACTCAGCTACGGTCTAAAAGAAGAGAGGAAGAGCAACAGGATACTGGAATCATCCAGAACATTTAGAATCACCTCACAAGGGTGAAAGAGAACAAGGTAAGAGAGGGGGCACTGGGGAGAACTCCCAGGCAGGAAAAGGCATCTTCACAGCCAGAGACACATGGATGGAAGCAAGCAAATCTATTTGATCCACAGCTTCCCTTCTCCATGGTCTCACCTTCCTCAGGTGAAGCCTCTGGGCTCCTCCAGTCTACACTGGCCACAAGCATCTGCCTCTGCTCAGCAATTTTTCTGGAGCCCACAGTATCACCAAGCAAACTGCAGGCAGATCTCTGCCTCCCCCCCTTCTTTTCCCAGGACCCAGTGAAGAAGAAAATACCAAACCAGGTACCTCTACCTTTCTTCTGCTGCGCTGGGGTTGGGGATCGGGAGCTGGCTGAGGAAACAGGACTGGCCAAGTCTGCGTACATGTCTTCGGAGTCGGCGCTGCGTACAGAGCTGCTGCTAGAGGAGGCACTAGAGACAGAAGAAACGCTGCTCACGCTCAGGGACCTGGAAAGAGCCAACAGCCTGTTACAGTCACGAATGCAACAAGAACCCAACAGGGATGAGACAGACACCTTTGCTTCAACTCCTCTGTGTGGCTGGGATGTCAGAGAGCTGCTAAGGTAGGCAATAACCAGGAAGAGATAAAGGCTATGTCTCCTGGAGTGCAGACAATATGAAAAATCCCAAACATGTTAGATGCAAGCCTAGAAGGTACTGTTTATTTATAAACAGGATTAAGGCAATGTGTAAACAGGTCACTGTTTCCCCAGGTAAACAAAAAGTGAAAGCAGGGTGTGTGCTATCATGTACAGGTCAGTGTTATGGCTCAGGTCAAGGGTTTCCTGGCAATGTTTTTGTTGTTTGGCACACGTTTATTCATGGAGGCTTTAAAACCCCTGGAGTCCTACAGCCCCACAGCTCCTGCCCAGCTCTCCAGGGTACAGGAGAGCCCAGCTGCCTGTTTTGAAGACACACACATCGTCGCGACTGATAGCGACAGGGAAGACGGCTAGAAGATGACTATCTTCTAATAGTGCCTATGAGATGGCTATCTTCTAATGGATTCACAGCGTTAAAAACGTCAGGCAATCGCTACATTAAGGAAGACTTTCTACTTAGAAACGTATCAGACAAAAACACAGGGCTATGCACCAGACGCCCCTTCAGGGGCACACCACCGCCGCAGCTTCGCTACGCTGAAGCGGCTCCAAAAATCCCAACTAGCTCCAAACTGGTCGGCATCACAGCCGCTGCCACGCGGGAC